TTGATCCATTGATTATTTAGGAGCATGTTGTTAAGCGTCCATGTGTTTGTGAGCCTTTTTGCTTTCTTTGTACAATTTATTTCCAGTTTTATACCTTTGTGGTCTGAAAAGTTGGGAGAACCAAGACCCTCTCCTCCTGCCAGGAGCTGGGATGAGGGGCGCTTGGGTCCCGTAAGGCCATGGCTTGTGTCTTACCCCCTTCGCGAGGCTCTGGTTTCTCACAGGTGTGGATGTAGTCTGGCTGTTGTCCTGTATCTTCTGGTCTCTCTTTTAGGGATAGTTGTATTTGTTGTATTTTCAAAAATATATATGTTTTTGGGAGGAGATTCCCACTGTCCTACTCATGCTGCCATCTTGGTTCCCACCCTGAGCAAATTTTTTAAATAACTCTTTAAAGGGGCTTTGCTATATATAAAGGGATGCGGCAATAGTTGGAACTAGAAGGATTGGTTGGCTTTGTTTGTTTTTTAGAATTGAAGAGAGAACAGCATGGTTTGATGCAGGTGGGAATGATCCTACAGTGGGAAAGGCTGATGATGTAGACAGAGCAGTAGAATCCCTAGAACTCGTATTCCTGAGAAGGAGTGAGGGGACAGACTCAGTGCACACAAGGAGGAGGTCCCCTTAAAGAGGAGCACAGGGGCTCGCCTGCCGTGACAGGGAGGAAGGGGACACACGAATGCAGGCACCTGGGTGGTGTTTCATAGACATTCCTTCTGATTCCTTCAGTTTTCTCAAGGTCATCAGCTAAGAGTGAGGATGGGTGGGGAGGTGCTGGAGGTGTGGGGAGAGAGGAGAAGGTGTGAAGTGGACGACTAGGAGAGCAGGGACCAACACACTGGCAACACACAGCAGTGGTAAGGGCTCCTTTAAGGGGTGAGCTCACCAGTGACCAGAAAGGGCATTTAAAGTATGGCTGTTATGGTTGACAATGGAGTTTAAGCTTGATTGGGCAGAAAGGAAGGACATCAAAAGGGAGCATTGAAAAGGTGGTTGGAGCCCAACAGTGCTGAGGGATTGTTGGAACGAGGGGGTAGGAGTGAGCTTGAGCAGTGAGTGCTGGTCTGAAAGGAGTAGCAGGGACTGGGCTGGTGGAGCGGCTGTGGTTCAGGTGTGATAGAGCCCAGGGTGCAGCTATGAGAGGGACTAGTGATGTCAGGTGGAGGTCAGGATCAGTGCAGGGAGGTCAAGGCGCTGAAGGACAGGGATTGGAAGGACACACATTTGTTGAAATAGCAAGAATTCAGACAGAATATGTGTTAGAGCATCAACAAACTAGGAGCCAGAATCATTGAGAAATAATAGGAGCAAGTCTTGGAAAGCAAGCTGATTTCTCTATCAGCTTTGAAAATTTCCAGGTGACTTAAGGGTCTTCCTGGTGACTCATGCAAACTATAGAAATACAAAATTCAGGCATTTGAGAAAGAAGCACAATGTTTCATTATCAATCCTTTGATGATCAATCCTTCAGTGACAATTAGAAACTGAAGCAGTTGTTTATATAACTCTTTGGCTTATTTTTTGTTGTATACCTATAGATCAAATATAAAATTAGAAGAAATTTCTCTAAATTTAATACTACAGGGTACTCAAAAACATCACACTTTTATAAGTGTTTTGTGTTATTTATTTGCAGAAAATATTTTCTTCCCTAAAAATCACTTGAAGACATTTTATAAATAGATGTGTCAAAACATATGCAAAAGAAAGGTTGAATTATTGACTTCATTTCACCTTCCTTTGGTTTGTATTTGTTCTCCCAGAGATTTAGTTCGTTGTCGTATAAATCCCGGGAAGAAGACCCAACTCTGACAGAAGAAGAGGTAAGTTTCATTGCTTTTGAAATAACCAGAAAGCTCCTAATAAAAAATAGCTTTTCTCCTTGCATCAATGTGCTGGTACGTTACTCTTCCCTGAGAAATACTCTCTTAAGCATATGTTTGGAGACCAGGGTTTGGGGAGGTTGGCTTTATAGCGGCTCATGGTAAATGGTAAGACAAGAAGGTAGACAGGATAAATAGATCAACTAAGTGAAGGAAACTGAGTAGGAAAGAGGGACCAGAAAAAAATACAAAAGGGAGGGGAAAAAACGGAATGAAAGAGAGAAACAAGTATGGGAGCTTAGTCAGCAGTCAGGAAGTCCACATATGAAGGAAATTAATCAGTGGTTGGAAAATACAGGAGATTGAAACAGGTGGATGTAGGGAATTTGATCCAGTCTGGGAGGCAGAAAGGTCTTAGGAATTCTGGAGGCAGAGAGCAGGAAACTCCAGGAAGTGCAATTCCAGGCTGGAGCTGGTGTTCAATCAGACACGGCAGCCAACAAGAGAGGACTGTACTTTCTCTCAACCACCAGGGCTAAAAAATTCACTGGTGAAATCTTTAGTGAAGCATTTAAATTGTAAAAGCCAATATATGTTATTATGTCAAGCTAAGCTGAGAGAGCTTCCATCTGGAATTCCTAGTATAGTAAATTTTGTACATGTACAAAAATGATACACATGTGAGCTACACATCACCTCCTATATAGGACTCTGGGTAGAATAGTAAAATAGGCAGATAGACCACAATGCCACATTGAAAGTTCAAGGAGCAGAAGTGCTTTCCTGCGATAATATTGCCCACCCCACCTCCATGTTTCCTGCCAGGGAGTGGACCTGCTCCCCAGCCACCTGGTTGCACAGGCCAAAACCTGGTGGGGGTCATCCTTGACACCCCATTTTCCACACTGTCCTCAGACTCACTCAGTAACCACAACCCCTCAATTCCACCTCTAATGGTTTCCTGCATGCATTCCCCTGTCTCTGTCTCCTCGGGGGTCCCTCGGTAGATACGGCAGTGGCCTCCCACCAGGGCCATGGAAGCTCCTGTGCCTTCTTCCCTCCCTTTTTCCACACTGTACCAGAGCCATCCCATCTGCGACGGAAAGTAAAATACATAAGAGATCTGAAAACTAACCCTTTAAAATAAGCCAAGACTATGTACAATTTTAAATTACTTTTCTTCTTATCTAAGAAATGTTTGTGATTTTTGAAAATAGAACCTAGTTATACTGATGAATATTTAACACTGAATAAAAATGTGCAATTCACATATATTCATTTTGTTTGAAAAAATATTTATTCTGGGAATCATTTATTTTTATATTCATGAAATATAATGTTAGTCCAGACTGAAAGTGAGACCTGAGTTTTAAGTACTATTATCCCAATTTAACAGAATGATGAGGGAAATGTTGATTATAAAAAAGAAGAGAGTAATTTATGAGAACATAGTAACAATTTACAGACTGAATAATGAAGTGCAAGAAAAACCACAAAGTTAAATAGCAGGGGGCTTAAAGAAACCTGTATATATACAAAATAGACATAGTAATCATTGAAGAAGAATATTGGAAAGGAATATTAGAAGATGTGGGAAGCTTTAATAAGAATTCAAATTTACAACATCCTTTGCACCTTAGGTTCATGCCCAGAGATAATGTTAAGTTGCAAGTTAATGAAAGAACCTGTAATTTTTTTAAAAAAATATAAAAGCCCAGAAAATCCAAGTGCTTACAGAGAGAGGGGGGCATTAATGTCAGGGACCATGGAGAGGAAAGTTAAGGAGAGAAACAGAAACAGTGGTGAGAGGCCAGTGCTCATGTTACAGTGTAGGATAAGTAGTGTTTGCCCTCCCTGATGTTACCCCCAAAAGTGAGAAGTAATTTCTAGTAAGCTGGTTCCCCTCCTCACTGGCATCCATGATTTTTTAGCCTTTATGATCGGTCCAAATTTTTGCCTTGAACCACCTTTTGGATAATAAGTTCCGTATGGTTTGCACCTCACTACAAAAAGCAGAGGATTTTTTTATTCTTCCTACATTCAAAGAAATTATAATTTTTCATTTTCAGAGTAATTTTTCCATTCACACTCCAAGGTGTGAATGTTAATTTAATATTCATTAGAACAATCAGATCAACATGGCAAGAGTTTCCCAAAGATTATTTCTCTCACTTCAAACCTTTGGATTTCAAGGCCTGGCAAAACTGAGCCATCAGCCTGTAGTGAAAACTTCTCATGCAAATGGCCAGTTAGCATGCAGCAGGCCTGTCTTAAGAAGCTTTTGAGGCCAGCTGGAAACTTCATCCACAGTCTGTGAGATGGAAAAAGCAGGAAAATATCTCTCCCACTTGTGAAGCCAAGCATCTGTCAGGAAGCATGTTCATTTATTTCCCGGGTGTTTGAATAAGCCTATCACTATGGTTAAGATCAATACAGGTAATGAAGGATATTTCTACTTATTTCCAACTATGATTTCTGACAAAATAATACCCCCCAAAGTGTCTTAATCAGCCTATTTAATCTATCATTACCAAAGAAAATGAAATCCCTTTTGCTATTAACAGTTATATGGCATATATTTGTGAGACTGAGTAAGTATGCTTGGAAAATAGCCTTCTCTTCCCATAGGAAAGAGTGTCCCATGAGTTGTCTTCAAATTTCATATTTGAGTTGGCTGACTGTAAATAAGAATTAATTTTCCCACTTTAGAAAACTTAGCCCAGTCCATTTAACCAGTAAATGCAACGAAGTTAATTAATGGAAAATGATACTTTTATAGATGTATGTGTACTACCATCCAGAATCCAAAATCTTACTCTTCAGACCATTTTGATGCAGGAAGAGTGGATCGAAGAGTCTAATTCAGTGGTTCTCACACTAACTCATGGGGATCAGAATCAGCAATGGTGGGCCCCTCCCCAGTTTCTGATTCAGTGGTTCTGGGGTGGGGCCCGAGAATTTGCCTTTCCAGTGAATTCCCAGATCCTGCTGCTGCTGGTTTGAACCCTGCAATACATGTTTTCTGTCCTTTTTAATAAAGCAATAGAGCCCTTTTTCAGGTGAAACATAATTTGGATATAGAAATCAAATAAACAGTGATGCTTGGTGACATCCTGGGGGCCTCTTGAGTGCCCACTCCACCTGCTCTCATACCCCTCAGCAGACCCTGACACAGCCTGGTTTGCTTGGAATTATGCTAATATGGCTGGTCTACTTACAAAGTTGAAGATAAACATATATAATTGTTCTCTACTAATGTACTCCAAGATTAATATAGATAATGAACCCACTTCTGGGTACATATCTGAAGGAAATGAAATCACTATCTTGAAGAGATATCTGCAACCCCATGTTCACTGCAGCATTATTCACAATATACAAGATATGGAAACAATCTAAGTGTCTAGCAACAGATGAATGGATTTAGAAAATGTGAGATACACACACACAAAAAATATTATTCAGACATAAAAAAAGGAAGTCTGCCTTTTGTGGCAACATGGATGAAACTTAAAAGCATTATGCTAAGTGAAACAAGTCAGAGAAAGACAAATTTGTGTATGTTTTTAAATATACATAGAAAGTAAAAAAGCCAAACTCCTAGAAATGGTAGAATGCTGGTTACCCAGGTCTAGGAGTAGGGAAATGTGGAGATGCTGGTCAAATGATGCAAATTTCCAGCTATTAGATGAATAAGTTCTGGGATCTAATGGACAGCATGGTGACTAGAATAAACAAATAGTGTACTATCCTATTGAAAGTTAAGGGGGGAGTAGATCTTTAATGTTATCACCACACACCCAGAAAATGGTAATTATGGTACTGGAGGTGTTAACTAATGTTATTGTGGTAGTCATTTCCAGTGTGTATGTGTATCAAATTATCACATTGTACACCTTAAATCTACATATGTTATGTGCCAATTACATCTCAATAAAGCTGGGGGGAAAGTCAGCAAAAAAAAAAAAAAAACTTAAGGGGCACACACATACTCTCATAGTACTAAGTATCTAGCTTGTCTCTAAAAAAGAGGAGGGAGAAGCTGAGCTTGAAGCTTATTTATTCAATTCATTCTTTATTTTCTAGATCTCAGCCATGTATTCATCAGTAAATAAACCTGGACAGTCAGGGAATAAATCGGGACAGTCTCTTAAAACATCAGAGTCCACCTACACTTCCATCCAAAGAGCTGCTCAGAGATCCCCCTCTTCCTGCAATGATCTCTATGCTACTGTTAAAGACTTTGAGAAAACTCCAAACAGTGTCAGCACACCTCCACCAGAACGGAGACCCAGTGAGGAGCCGGAGCCTGATTATGAAGCAATCCAGACTCTAAACAGAGAAGAAAGGTTCGGGGCATTTCTTCTGTGGAAGATAAAAAGCAATGATCAGCCAATACTGTATATGCTGCTTGCATAAACTGAAGCAAGTGGCCGTGCAGTGATTGTTTCCCAGTTTCAGAAACAGTGAGGTACACACCTGGCTGCCCCCAGCGTGCCCTGCCTGCTGTGGGCACTGGCACACCCAAGCACATCTTCCTCATGCACCCTCACCCTCTGGAAAGATCCCAGCTGCCTGTGGTTTCATCCCATCAGTAACGAAAGCCAAAATGTAGGGAAGAACAGTGTTCACGAAGAGCCACACCTTCACCTGCCTATAATACTGCCAATCACAAGAGCCAGGTTTTTCTTCCTTTCTTCCCTTCTTGTGCTGTTGGCTACCAACATTCAAATGTATGGCTTTCTTCTCTGTGAAATCTTCTGATTCCTAATGGCTCATTCCAAGGAAACTTTCCAAGGCTTGGCCTCTGCTTTCAGTGTAGGTGTTATAGGATGGTAAGAAATTGTGGTTGCTGGAGACCATCAGCTCACCAATCCTCTTCACAGAGCTGGGAATCCAAACCCTGCAGGTGGATAGGTCTTGGGATGTCCCTGGGGCTCTTAAGGCCTTCGCTCCTTCTGATTTTGGCACTCCACATCAGCAGCCTCTCCCAAAGTACTTGAAGTCATGTTTAGATGCTTTATTTTATTTTTCTAGTCGTATAGTTTTCTTGACCCAGTATTTGAAACTCTTCAGAGCCTTTTCAATATTTTCAATGAATATTGTGGTACTTATATACTTGTTTTAGCCCAGAGCTCACTCCTCCAAAATAGAGAGCCTTAATCTCTATGTTGAGACACAGACCACGTATTTGGACTGCAGCCTGGCGTCCATCTCTGAAGGGCTGTGGACTTGAATGTGTATTTCTGATGATCTCTGCTACCACACCAACAGTGTGGGATTTCATAAGTTAACTGCTACCCTAAGGTAATCTATCTAAAATTAAAATGCACACATTTATTTTTGTTATATAAATTTATAAGATGTTTTATGTTTAATGCCTAATTTCTAGAAAGTGCCAGAGAAAAATGTATATCAACTATTTTGGTTTTCTGTACAATGATTTATACTCTCATTTTGAAAAGATACCATAAAGCGCATCAAGCTAATTATAAATAGTTGTTATCTTTTTTTCTAATCAAGTGTTTAAAACAATGAAGGTTTTTAAAGACTCAACTTTTCAAACGGTACTTGGAACTTCTGGTCAAAATTATCTGGCTCACTGGAGAAATAAGTGGAATCAACAAAATGATTATTTTCAGTAGTTCGTGGTGGATAATACTAAAATAATTTGAAATGGTAAACTGGAAAGAATAACAGTCTATGAGTAGGGAGGACTGTGACTTATTAGCCTCATGAAGGTATTTTATAATTCCACTATGGTTGAGTTACATTTTTAAGAAAACAATGAAGAGTTCTGCAGTCCATTGCTTGCAAATTCAAATCACCTATTGGGATTTTTTTTTCCTTCATTTTACAAAAAGCAGTGACTGAAATAACTCTGATTAAGAAATCAGCCTGGTTTGAATTTAATCATCTCTTTACATTTTATAAGGCCAACATTGGAAAAGTTGTTCACTTTCTGATTTAAAAGGAACCTGGTTGAAATGCTCTTATACCATGTGGCTACCGAAAGGGAGTTTTTCACATACTATGATAAAGAAGGGGGAAAGCAGGCAATTATTCTAAACCACTGTGACATCTGTGACTTTTCTGATTGAATAGTCTTGCAGTTATGATAAAGAATGCAATTGGAAGGATGAAGCACCTTGAAAATTCTAGGGACCAGCTCACTAGCATGTTTTCTCCATCCCTTGTGTTCACCGCTGGGTTTTGCCACTGCTCTGTAATACAGTTTTGATTTTGTAAAGTGCACTGTCAGGGTAAACCGGTTGGTTGTCATTATTTGTGCAGCCTGGTCTCCCCATGAAGACTTTGTGTGCCTAAGCACAATTGCCATTGACTAGAAGATAATGGCAGAATACCCTTGGATTAGGGAGAGTTTACCAGGAAGGCACAAGCCTTGCTCTCTGAATTCATGCCCTTCAGAAGCACTGTTTTCCTGGTGATTGAATGAGTGTGACCCAACAGTCCCCACATAACGGGGTTCCTTTGGTACTATGCATGCTTCCGTGATGTCCTTTATCAGCCCTCGACCACACAAAAGTTTTATTGTATTTCATGTCTTACTCATTGCTGAGGAAGTGTGTATGATCTCTAAAGTGTAAAACTGTTTCTAGAGACACAAACTCTTCATAAACCATCATGTCAACTTGAAATGTCATTATCAGAATTTCCCCTAGAAGTTTTCAAAGAAAGGCTATGCAACATAGGTATAATATATGCACTGAAATGTCACACTTGACTGGCCAACCCATGCTAAAACTAAGTTCTGATATAAAGTATTGAAAGTATACTTTAAAAGGAACTATAAGGCCCTCCAGTACTAATTCTGAAAGAATAAGTGATAACAGCCCATGAGGGTTGGAGGAGGGAGAAGCAGAGTCAGCTTGACGAGACAGCTCTGCTCTTTAGACCTGTGAGTACCTCACTGAGGTACATTTATAGAGGTATCTTCACTGTTTGGACCTTACAGAACTGTATTTCATAAATGTCATCATCACTTTCAATTCATTTTTTGGAAAATTTGAGGTAGAATCTTTGACTTGGACAATAGCCTATGATTTCTTTAGAAAAGTTTCATGTTAAGCTGAGTGCTACAAAGTTTAAGTATATGAAAGGCAATATAAAAAAAGAATTTACCGTGTCTTTAAAATTCAACTTTGACATCCATATTACCCATTCAATTATCATAACTTATGTTATGTGAAATTACAAAAAAAAAGATAAAAATTTTTAGAAAGTTTTTTTCTCATTGATCAGAATTATAAACTGATCTTGCCTAAAAGTAGAGTCTCTGTTTTTATTTAGATATTTTGAAAGCTTAGAAGACTTTTTTTATGATGCTTTTACTCTTTCTCACATAGAGTCAGCAGGAAAATATAACCTGTTTTCATGTGAAATATTTGAAGAAATTTTAAATTCTAGAAGGTAATTTTTGCAATATGTTTGGCCACATACATTTTTTTCCTGTCCTGCACTAAATTATATCATTGTCTATTAAAGATTTTGAAGTCACTACTCTCCTTTATGGGAAAAGACTAACTACTGATTTATCTGCCCTCAAAATCCAAGAGTTAATTCTAATTGATGCTAAATTAAGAGTATGTAGTGAACACTAATAACTAAAATTTAACCTCAGCATATCACTATATCTGTTTCTTGTATTTGACTTTCATTTTTCTAATTAGAGCATTTGCTTACTTTATAGTAACAAATTATATGTATATGATATATATTGGATATATCATACACACACACACACACATATANATCCAAGAGTTAATTCTAATTGATGCTAAATTAAGAGTATGTAGTGAACACTAATAACTAAAATTTAACCTCAGCATATCACTATATCTGTTTCTTGTATTTGACTTTCATTTTTCTAATTAGAGCATTTGCTTACTTTATAGTAACAAATTATATGTATATGATATATATTGGATATATCATACACACACACACACACACATATACATATATACACATGTATATATATAAAGTTGCTCTGGTGCTTAATTAATGAGGATGCATCCTACTTTGTATTTTGAATGTTTGTCCTACTAGTGTGATGGCTGTTGTCATAAAAGCAGAATAGAAAAAAATAATTCTCCAATAGTTTTCAATCAGTAATTACAGGAGAACCTTCTTAAATTGCCCTCATTAAATTTTTCTAGTTAATAAATTCAGATTTTAAATTGTGTCCATTATTTTCTTAGCTAAAAAATAGTGGGAGTTGGGGGGAGGGTTAAAATAGTTTTATTATATATGTGACTCACTACATAGTCAACGTCACAAGAGGAGACAAAAATGGTGTCATTCTCAGATAGGTGAGTGAGAAGAGATTCAGCTGAAGGGAACACGAGCTGCAGCACGGTGGCCCCCACCCCCACCCCCAGGTGGTAGTCGCAGAGGCCCGTTGCCACAGGGTGGCATTTCAATTCCTTCTCTTCAGAAACCAGGAGGGCTTACCACAGACTCAACAGGCCACGTGACAGCATGATGTGCAATGATAGCAGCTATGAGATGATGCCATGGCCATAATCCCAGAGCTTCAGTTCAAGACTGCATTAGGACTTTGTAAATGAGTGAATGACATTTTTTTAGTGCTCCTTGTAATAGTTGATATGGCCCGTGTGACCTAGTGATGCGTACCCAGTCAGCCTAGCTCTGACCGCTGAAAGCACGGGAGGTACCACTGGTCATTTCCTGGAAATCTTAACAGGCTTATTGTGTTGTGTCACTGGGAAAGGTTAACATATAATGTTTGGTGTTAGTAAGTGTCAGTGTGAAAAATAGGAACATATGTCTATAATATCAAATATGGCTTCTTTTTGCAGTGAAATCTAAACTCCTTGTCCTGTGGTAGTATTTTCTTGCTCTGTGTTGTCCCTTTTCTAAATATATTATTCTTGACAGTGGCATTAGACAAATTGGACACACTTAGAAAGTGTTTGACTTAAAAAAGTCAGTCCAGAAACCATGATAAATTGGAGTCTTCATCTGGAATTACCGAAGTAAATTTTTCTAATTAGAAACCATGGTCCCAAAGAGAACAAATATTCATAAATGGTTCTTTTTTTCCTACTGCTCATTTTTAAGTCTGTTCATATCCAGGCCATACTATTATACAGTCTGTTAATGTTTTCCCAAGTTCTTCTTTTATTTAAATAAGAAATAGTAGTTGAGATTCCTCTTACTGCCAGATGAAATGAGAAATACAATTTTTGTTAAGAAGGCAATTATTTTTATGCATTTTATTTGTTAATCATTTATCTTAATGCAGTTAGATGAGATGTTTCTTCGCTCACCATTTATATACTATGGTTATTCATTTTTCAAATGTATTGTACTCTAGTTGTCTCAGGTCACCTTGTGTGATGGATTGTAAAGCCTGGTAATTGTCATTCCTCAGA